GACCTCAGGTGATCTGCCCGCCTCGGCCTCCCAAAGTGCTGGGATTACAGGTGTGAACCACCACGCCTGGCCAACTTAAAGAATCTTAACACAAAAACTGGTACAAGAAATAGCATCTTAAGTGAAAGACCTTCAGACAAAATACAGAGAAAGTTAAGCAGCAAGGAGATCTTTGAGGACTTCCCCAGCCCATAGAAATTGTTTGGCAGTTCTTGAGATTAGAATAGGAAGAACAGGTTTGAAGAAGTGGGAATAAGTTCAGTTTTGGACATATTACAACACAGTGAAACCCCCATCTCTACAAAAAATTTAAAAATTAGCCAAGTGTGGTGGTATGCACCTGCAGTCCGCACTACTTAAGGGCCTGAGGCAGGAGGATCACTTGAGCCTAGAAGATCAAAGCTGCAGTGAGCTATGATTGCACCACTGCACTCCAGCCTGGGTGAAAGAGCAAGACCCTGTCTCAAAAACCAAACCAAACCAAACAAACAACAACCAGAAAACAGGGGAGGAGACAAAATTACTATCTTCATGGAAGTTTTATTATTTGATCATATGAGGAACTAGTTAGGATGGACAGGGATTTCTGTTTTGTTCATTCACTGATATATCCCAAGTGTCTAGAACAATGTTTGGAACATACAAACTCAACAAATTTGTTGAATAAACTTCCACTCCTGTAGGATTAAAGCCAGACTGTTTTCACTGAAGAAAGAGTTAAAGAATAAAATGCAGAATGCACAGACCACAGATCAGCTATAGAAAGTCAGGAGGGGGCCGAGCACAGTAGCTCACACCTGTAATCCCAGCACTTTGGGAGGCCAAGGAGGGGTGGATTACTTGAGGCCAGGAGGTCAAGACCAGCCTGGCCAACATGGCAAAAACCTGTCTCTACTAAAAATACAAAAATTAGCGAGGCGTGGTGGCGTGTGACTGTAGTCTCAGTTACTTGGGAGGCTGAGGCACGAGAATCGCTTAAACCCAGGAGGCAGAGGTTGCAATGAGCAGAGATTGTGCCACTACACTCCAGCTTGGGCGACAGAGTGATACTCCATCTGCCCACAGCCCAGTTCAGTGTTTTTAAATATATTGTTGAACTATTCAAGACTATTGAATTCCAGAACATTTCCATCACCTGCCAAAGAAACCCTATACCTATCATCTATCAGTCTCAATTCCTCCCTGCCCAACCCCCAAGAAACCACTAATCTACTTTCTGTCTTCATAGATTTGTTTATTCTGGACATTCAACTCATTTGCCTTCTCCCCATCTTGGCCTTTTTGCCAGACACACTCTTAGGTGAGGACTTTATAATTACCTCCTTATTATCCCTTTTCATCTCCTCCCCATTTGGGTAGCAGCCCTTACTTCAGGTTGGGTGTTATTGACCTTACCTCCAGTTCAGAAGAAAGCCTTAATTAGTGATTCCATCACATTCACCCTACCTCAAAAATTCGTTCGAATTACCTCAACAATTGTTACGAATTACCTCAAAAATTCGTAAGCATATGACCTAACTTCTTGGTCCAATCAGTGGTGGTCAGGATGTGTCTGTAGAGGAGTGGAGATTGACTTACATACAGTTAATGCCCAAATTTTAAGTGTAAAGTTTGTTGAATTTTTACATCTATATATACCTGTGTGACAACCATGCAGATCAAGATATGGAACATATCTACAGCACTCCAGAGGCTTCATGCTTCCTCCCCATCAGTATCTTCACTCCAAGAATAACCATGATTGTGACCCAAAGCTCAAACATTTTGTTCATTGACTGAGAAAAGAGTCACTGGCTCTCTTCCCCTGGATATGGGTAAATAGGTATGCAAGCCTAGGCGCTTCAGAAAATTATCTGGCTACCCAAGTGAAGCCAGTCTGAGAATAACAAGAACACGTGGAGGAGAGCACAGATAGCAAAATTCCAGAGAAACAAAACCACAGATCTAACAACAGTGAATTTTTACATTAAATCAATCCTGAAGCTATACTACCTATGAACTTCCCAGTCTCCAGTAAGCTATTTTGTTGTTTAAATGGCTTCAACTGATTTTTTTCTCAACTCAGAATTTTTAACCTGAGTTAGAACCTTAGTTCTACCTCTTACTTGATATATGCTCTTGGGCAAGTAACTTAACTTACTTAATTTCTTTAGGCCTTAGTTTTCTGATCTCTAAAAACAGGAGGCTATCTTCCATATAAGATTATTCTATGAAATATACATACTCTATATACAGTATATATATACTAAATATACAAATATCCTCATACATGTTAAACACTCAATAAGTGATACAATTTTTAATCATAAACATGTCTAAAGACTTAAGTCTTCTAACAATGGAATGGGATCCCTTCTAGATAATAAATCCCAAATAACTAGAAACACTAAGCATTACCTGGATAATCCTCCTTTCAGTGATGTTCTAAAAGGTGTTCCTGCTTTGATGGGAGATAGATTAACTCTAAAATCCCTTCTAACACTAAAAACCTGTACAACACTTACTGATTTACACTGCCTGCGCAATGGCAAAATGAAATAGAGACTTATGGTCCAGTAACAGGTAAAAATAATATCCAATTAAAGTTAATGGTTCACAAGAGAAGCAACATGAGTAGAACAGGCAATGGAAACAATACTTCTCAATTAGTTATACTAACAGCTCTGAAGATCTCCTTACTCCAGAGAGGCCTTTACCTATGCATCAGGGAGGGAGAGGGTAAAATTAGGACTCTAATCAGGCAGCAGAGGTTGCAGGAAGGGTGGAAGCTATAATGACAAAGTCAAGAAATGAGTCGGATTCAGGAGCTGTGGAAAGGGTAGAAAGCTAAGGAGCACAGTCTCCACTGGCATCTGAGCTAACTTGTTTTGTTCTTTTTTAGAGACAGGGTCTTGCTATGTTGCCAAGGCTGGAATGCAGTGGTATGATCCTACTTTGCTGCAGCCTCAACCTCCTGGCCTCAAACAATCCTGCCTCAGCTCATAGCTGGGACTAGAGGCACACATCACCACACTCAGCTTGAACTAACTCTTTTTCTTGACCTTATGCCTTTCAATATGCCTTATCTTACTGAGCAGCTATCAGCAGTATTTATTAGACACTTATACTTTTATTTATTTATGTATTTTGAGACAGAGTCTCACTCTGTTGCTTAGGCTAGAGTGCAGTGGTGTGATCTTGGCTCACTGCAACCTCTGACTCCCAGCTTCAAGTGATTCTCCTGCCTCACACTCCCGAGTAGCTGGGATTACAGGCATCCGCCACCACACCCAGCTAATTTTTTTTTTTGTAATTTTAGTAGAGACGGGGTTTCACCATGCCTGGCCTAGACACTTATACTTTTTAATTTTAATGAACAGACGTTGTTCTATCTGAACAGACATTTATATTTTCAATTCTCTATTTTCAACAATTCCCTTCATTATCTTTTGCTGGGCCCAAGGATATTGAAGCCATCCATTGCTTTACTTGTCTTCCAAGTTCATCAGTGCCTGCACTGCAAAGGAAACAGATTGTCAGGCTGGAGAACTAAGAATATTCTACATATGTAAATGTTTGGCGAAGACCTTGCTTTTCTGGGTTCTAGGTTCCCACAAGTCTTTACTAATCTTTAAATTAAGCTTTATGATTCTGTGTACTCTTTGCCATAGACAAGTTTATCAGGATTAAAGAAACCACCTTGCTGCATTTTCCTCCTTTTCACCCTGTCCTCCCTAGAGAATAAGTGGGAAGGCAGGGCTAAGAAGGACTAGCAGGAACAGGATTAAATTTAGGCGACGTTTTGAAGTAAGCAAAGCCTGTCTTTCACATCTTGCCCTAAATTCCGTGTTCCAATGTTATAAATTCCTCATTGCCCACCTGTGCCCACCACACACAAACACACAGTCCTTCTCTCTAATTTCTTATTTTCACACTGAGTTGATTTCAACTAGGTATGAGGGGAAAACCCAGATAACACATATTAAATTATAAAAATCCGCCCCTAACTCTTCTGTTTTAGCTTTGTTATGAGATGGAGTGTTGTTCTGTTGCCAGGCTGGAGTTCACTGGCGTGATCTCCGCTCACCGCAACCTCTGCCTCCCAGGTTCAAGCAATTCTCCTGCCTCAGCCTCCGGAGTAGCTGGGACTACAGGCATGTGCCACCATGCCCAGCTGCTTTATTGTATTTTAGTAGAGACAGGGTCTTACCATGTTGGCCAGGATGATCCTGATCTCCTGAACTCGTGATCTGCCCACCTCAACCTCCCAAAGTGCTAGGATTACAGGTGTGAGCCACCATGCCCAGCCTTTTTTTTTTTTTTTGCTTTTAGAGGGAAACTGTATTAATCCCAATTAGTCATGAAGTAACGAAATTTAGGAAAAATAACTTTGAAAAGATAGTGCTCAGTTTACATCAGACTCTACTATTTAAATCACGTATTTGTCTTTATAGAGGCTGACACTAGAAGGGGCAGATACAAACAGAAGTTTAGAATTCATAAACTTCTTTTTTTTTTTTTTTTTTTTAGAATTCATAAACTTCTTTAGGGAGTTAGGACAGTGAGCATTTGTGGGCCTCCTGCTCATTGTCTGATCGTCTGATCCCCCATAGCTCTCCAGATTGAGCCTTAGGCCCTGCTGCTCAAGTCTGAAATGCAATCTTCAGAGACAACAAATGTGCAGAAACCGGTGGGCTGCCCAAATCAAGCAAGAGCCTACCTTGTCCTAATTCCCAACAACTGGGATTAGACTTTCTCTTCTTGGGAAATAAGCTCTCATACCTTATAGGATTTGGGCGTCCCGTGCTACAGAAGCAGAGTTTCTAGGTTCTCTCTCAGTTAGGGAAGAGTGGGACACATGCCCAGAATGTGACAAACCAAACCAAGAATTTGCCTATTTTAGGTATAGGCAGAAATTTAGAAGCTGAGATGCCAGAATAGCAGACACCCTCCTCCTCCTCCACAGTTATAAACGCTATATATATATTCCCATGGTCCCCATGACTGCCCTAACTCCATACCTGCAAACTCTTGTAACTTCTTACGCTCCTCTAGGTTATACTGAAGCTTTTCTAGCAACTCAAAATATCGGAAGAGTGAGTCTCTGGGCCAAACACGGTCATCCTGTTCCATTTCCATTAGCCCGGGCAGATTTTCATGCACAAGAGTCTCCCAGTCCAAATGACCTGTTGGGAGGAATGCTTCAGAAAAGCATGGCTAGGTTTGTAAAAGTTGGGTAAAAGCTGGTAAATCCTATGGTGTGGGTGGAAAGGTGGGGTGGGAAGAGGTAACAGGAAGCAAGCAGGGAAAGGGTGCATCAGCAAGAAATCACTTTTTACAGTGAGCAAAGAGGGCCACAGCCACATTTACCCAAAGTGAAGAAGGAGGACAGGGGAAATTAGAAGCAAAAAGAAAGTCATTAAGACCAGAAAATTGGAAAGGAGATACAGTAGGAGAGCTCTTGTTAAGAGTAAGATGTCTTATAGAGTAGTCTGAATTCAAATGGAAAAAACTCATTATTATAGTTCTTTGGCTCACCAATAGATTCAGAAAATCTGGATTCAGAAGAGGAAGAATAGGAAGAGGATGTGGAGGAAACAGAGGAGGAAGATTGGTACTCTCTCTTTTTTGACAAGGTCTCTTCTGGTTTTGATGCAGATGTTTTTAAATCCTCTTCAGTGGCACCATAATTAGACTCTACTTCAGATACTTCTGATAAGTCCAAACTTTCCCTTTGTTGACCAGCTCCTCTTGTACTGAAAGGAGAAAATCATGACTTCACAAACATTTACAAGACATGACTAGTCCACTCATTATTCTGGTTCTGGCCCTGGCCACCCCCTAAAGCTGGGGCATAAGACAATGAGAGCCAAAATACTCCCAAACTCTACACTCAGGCACTTCCAAACTCAATCATTCATGTATCATCCTTAACTCTTCTCTTCCCTACCATATCCAGTCCATCAAGTAATCCTGCTGACTCTATACCTTCGAAATAAATCTTTTCTCACTAACTCACTGCTACCACTCTGGCCTAAGCTGTCATCATTTCTTGCCTGGGCAGCAGCATAGCCTCCCAACTGATCTCTCTGCTCCTTCCCTTGTTCTTCTACCAACACAGCAAGTAATCCTTCTTAAATGTAAGTCACCTCATGTCACTCCTCTGTTCTGCTTTCCATTTCAAAGTCCCTACAATGGCACCCCTAACCCTACAGGATCATGTCACCATTATCTCTCTGACTTCATTTCCCAGCACTCTTCCCCCTGCTCACTCTACTCCATTCACAATGGCCTCCTTGCTGTTTCTCAAACACACCAAGCATGCTTCCAGTTTAGGACCTTTGCACTAGCTGTTTCATCTGCCTATTAACACCCTTCTTATAGATACCCACATGGTGATCCCCTTACCTCCTTCAAGTCTTTGCTCACATTACCTTTTCAATGAGGTCACCCTGACTACCCTGTTTAAAACTATAACCCATCTGTGGCTGGGCACGGGGCTCACGCCTGTAATCCTAACACTTTGGGAGGCTGAGGCGGATGGAGTGCCTGAGCTCAGGAGTTTGAGACCAGCCTGGGCAATATGGTGAAACCTCGTCTCTATGGGAAAAAAAAAAAAAAAAAAAATTAGCCGGGTGTGGTGGCAGGCACCTGTAGTCTCAACTACTTAGGAGGCTGAGGCAGGAGAATCACCTGAACCCAGAGGCAGAGGCTGCAGTGAGCCGATATCGTGCCACTGCACTCCAGCCTGGTAACAGAGCAAGACTCTGTCTCAAAAAAAAAATAAATAAATAAAACTACAACACCTTCTACTCCCAATCTCCCTTAACCTGTTCTACTTTTAATTTTCCCATAATGCTTATCATATTTTAACAGATTAATTTACTTAATATGTTCACTGCTTATTATCTCTTTATCACTACTAATAATAAGCTCCATGAAGCAGGCATTATTGTCTATTTTGTTCACTGATACATCCCAAGCACCTACTAAGTATTCAATAATTATTTGTTCTTTATTGTTTTTTGTTTGTTTTTTTGAGACAGGGTCTTGCTCTGTCACCCAGGCTGCAGAGCAGTGGCACAATCACGGCTCACCACAGCCTCAGCCTCCCAGGCTCAAGTGATCCTCCTACCTCAGCCTCCTAAGTAGCTGGGACCACAGAAGCATACCACCACATCCAGCTAATTTTTGTTTGTAGAAGCAGAATTTTGCCATATTACCTAGGTTAGTCTTGAACTCCTGAGCTCAAGTGATCTGACCACCTCAGTTTTCCAAAATGCTGGTATTACAGGCATGAGCCACTGCACCCACCCTGCTAAATTTTTGAGATGGGATCTTGCTCTGTTGCCCATGCTGGACTACAGTGGTGCAATCATGTCTCAATGCAGCCTTGAACTTCTGGCTTGAACTTCAAGCAATCCTCTTGCCTTGGCCTCTCACAGTGTTGGGATTACAAGTATAAGCCACCACATCTAGCCAGTAATTATTTGTTAATGAGTGAATGAGTTCATTTCTGCTTCTGCTTTGTTTGTCCACTGCTAAACACTTGGGGTCTAGATTCATATTTGTTTCATTGAAGGTATCTGTACTAGTGTCCTGAGGCTGCCATAACAAATTACTATAAACTTGGTATCTTAAAATGACAGAAATACAGTCCCTCACAATTCTAGAGGCCAGAGTCTGAAATGAAGGTGTTGGCAGGGCCATACACCCTCTGGAGACTTTAGGGGAGAAGTTCCTTGCCTCTTCTACCTTCTAGCAGCTGCCTGGCATTCCTCAGCCTCCCTTGGCTTGTGGTGGCTTTAGCCCCAACCTCTATCTCCATCTTCACATAGCCTTCTCCTATTCTCTGTGTCTTCTCCTCTTTCATCTCTTATAAGTACCCTTGCCATTGGATTTAGGACCTACCCGGATAATCTAGGATGATCTCATCTCAAGATCCTTAACTTAGGATCTTTTTTTTTCCAAATAAGGTCACATTCACAGGTTTCAGGGAGTAAGGACATGGACATATTATTTTGGGTGCCACTAGTCAACCTACTACAATATGCAGTTATTAAATGAATGAATTCTCTCTCAAAGCCAATCTTCATCTTTAGTTTTCCACCCTCTCCTCCTTCACGTGTTTCTATCCCAGTTCACATACATACTCCTAACCTGTCATCTATTTTGCTATGGCTTGACTTCAGTGCCTCCTGTGACACGTTTTTTCTCCTGCAAAGCAGAAAAAAAAAAAAAAAAAAAAAAAAAAAAAGAGCGAAGACAGTTACATTCAAGTAAAAGTGTGGTAAGAAGAAAAGAGTTCATATCAGAAAGTGAAGAAAACTAACTGGGGAGAACAAATTGTAGTCAAGGGGTGAAAATAAATGGAGGGCTCCCCACAGTGGATGAAAAATCAGGCAATATTGTAGAGCCAGAGAATTCTTATCCTTGAGGGCAAATCTTCTGTCACAAAGGGAAAAGTGGGGTCAAGGAGCAGAAACAAGAAATGAGCTCAGGAAACCCTTGAGAAGGAAAGTTGGGGTTGAAAAGGGAGAAGCAGACCTCTGGATGATCTGCCGCTTGAACATGTCAGCTTTCAGCTGAACCTCCTGACGTGCCATCTCCTCATTCATCTCTTTCCTGATATTCTGAAAGTTAGTAACTGCCCCAAAGGGCCATTAGGAGTTGGGAGATGGTAATGACTAGACCTGGGAAGAGGGCTTGGGTGGGGAGAATCCAAGTGAAATATCCCATCCAGAACCCAAGCCTTCCTGCTACACTAGGTTCTTTATACCCATAAGCCACCAATCCCCGCTTTCAGACTAATTTCTTCCCAACCACCCTTCCCAAACAAGTTTCACCTCCTCTATGCTTACCCATCATGGCTACTATGATACTCCGAAAGATAATGGAGCCAAGCAACAACCAAAGGATGAAATAGATGCTGCTGAAGATGCGACTGACTTCACGCACCTTCCAGACATCCTGAAGCAGTGCATACCAATGATCCAAGGTGAAGAGAATGAACACTGTTACCAGGGAATTCGGGAGGTCCCTAAAGAAAAAGGCATGTGAATAAACAGAAACAGAGACCTAAACCTTTCAAAAATGATACCATTCTTACTTTTAAAGAAACATAAACATTTCTTTGTAGTTTGTTCTGATTTTGGTTCCTTTTCTACCATACTCAGTTTTTAGCTAATCATTCTTCAGTTTGAAGTTTTTTTTTTTTTTTTTTACACGGAGTCACACTCTGTTGCCCAGGCTGGAGTGCAGTGGCACAATCTAGGGTCACTGCAACCTCCATCTCCTGGGTTCAAGAGTCTCCTGTCTCAGCCTCCCGAGTAGCTGGGATTACAGGCATGTACCACCATGCCCGGCTAATTTGTGTATTTTTAGTAGAGATGGGGTTTTGCCATGTTGGCCAGGCTGGTGGCGAACTCCTGACCTAAGGTGATCCGCCAGTCTCAGCCTCCCAAAGTACAGGATTACAGGTGTAAGCCATTGCACCCAGCCTAAATTCTCCTTTATCATAAATAATCTATGACTACCTCTCACTATCCCATTAGTCCTGGGGTATAATAAATACTCAATAAATAGGCATTAACTGAAGTTTTAAAAGATGAATGAAGCACCAACTAGTTCTTTTTTTTTTTTTTTTTTTTTTTTGAGACAGAGTCTCAGTCTATCATCCAGGCTAGAGTGGCGCGATCTCAGCTCACTTCAACCTCTGCCCTCCAGGCTCAAGTGATTCTCTCACCTCAGCCTCCCGAGTAGTCGAGATTACAGGCATGCACCACCATGCCCAGCTAATTTTCGTAATTTTAGTAGACAGGGTTTCACCACGTTGGCCAGGCTGGTCTTGAACTCCTGACCTCAAGTGATCTGCCTGCCTCAGCCTCCCAAAGTGCTGGGATTACAGGTGTAAGCCACCATGCCTGGCCGTTTTTTCTAATTTTATTCTCCACTGCTCTATGGACTCCACTTAATAGAAGATCACTCGCAAATTTAGCAAAATTAGCAAATTTAGTGAAATAGAAGATCATTCACAAAATTATTCCTATTAGTTTGCTGGTATGAAATGATAGCAGGTAAATGGGTATGCTACATAAACATATGTGATCCTAAATAATGAATATATACAGATTATAAAATTAGTAATATTTTAAAATTACTAAAAAAGTAAAAAGTTTCTGGGAAGGTATCTAAATTTTCCTACCTTTATTTTTAGTCCTCCATATACAATTTATTGAAAACATCAAAGCTTGCATAGGATAAATTCTAGGACTTTCCTAACTCAATATTCTTACAAAACTATCTGTTAAGAGTTTAACAGAGTTCTGAGAAGCGCAGACAAGATTGAATTCTAATTCATAAACGGGATTATCTACTCAAAATTCAAGTTGATTTCCTTCTAGAAAACAGTGATGTGTTTTCTTTTTTAATATTTAAAAAACTATGTAACACTTCGTAAATTTGTGTGTTGTCCTTGCACAACGGCCATGCTAATATTCTCTATATCATTCCTAATATTCTCTATATCATTCCTAATATTCTCTATATCATTCCAATTTTAGTACATAGTCTAGAGCCAAAATCTCAATCAAGCTATATCTGACTCTAGAAGCTGTGTGTGCTTCAACTACTACCCCATACTACGCCTCTGAGTACAGAATTCCCAAGTTAAATAACTCATTCAAGGCTGGTCACAGAACCAGATATATAAATCAAGCCTGTCTGACTCTTTGTATTGCTTCAACTTTACATACTACCGCCTCTGAGTACACGAGGAATTCCCCTGGAGGGCCTTCTCCCTGTTCTAGGAGCACCTCACGGCGACACTCCACTAAAGCAGGCCAACATCTTGCTTATACCAGAGCTGGGTTGAAACAGTGGGTTCAGGCAGTGAGGTTGGCTGCTCTCCTCTTGTTCAAGAGTATTTAGTAAATCCCTGGCCCAGCACACCCTGCGCGGCCCTCTCTGGGCAAGGCATCCCAGAAAAGGGCATGATTGTCCATGAGGCCTTCTGAAGCAATGGGGCCCGACCAGCATCCCCTGGGCCTCAGCACCTAGCCTGGACCCAAGAGGAAGGTGCGGCAGGCGGAGAGATTTATATCTTGGTTCTGTGACCAGCCTTGAATGAGTTATTTAACTTCTCTGAGCAATATTTTTCACGTCTCACTTATAAACTAGGGATGATACTGGTATATGAGATAATACATTCTGTGGGCTTAGCACAGTGCGTGATACACAAATGTGCAATAAATATTACCTTGTTATTCTTTTGGGCTCTTTGACTCTCCTGCTTTCCGCACCAGAAAGAAAAAGGATCAAGTTAGAGGACTCTTGATTTTTTTCCTAGAGATTGAGAATTGGAGGCTGGCAGAATACAGGAAGATAAGGCAGGAATGAATAAGATTCAGGGACACTACCAATCAGAAAACTTTGGTTCTAGGTTCAACTGTGCTGCAAATTACTGTGATCTTAGGCAAGCAATTTCATTTAGTTTTTCTGGGCTTCAGTTTTTACTCTGTAGAATGGAGGGGTGGGAATATGTTAAACACCATAATTCATTCACTGAATGCCTATTATATGCAAGGCATTTTGTTAGGTTCTGTAGGATATATAAAGATTCCTTACTCCATTTTGGGGCTCCATTTTTTTCAAGTCCTGGGCCCAGTAAAATAGAATTAGATAGTCTCATAGTATTTGGTTCAGGTCTGCAAGTATTAATTGATCCAACTATGGACCTGGCATGGGAGAGGGTACAAGAGAAATTGGAGATATGATCCTGGACCTAAAAGAGCTTAATATCTGAAGAATCACAGTTGAGATGAAGGACAAGCATCCCAACAAGTGGAGTTGGAAAGCCTGGGGGAGCTGCAGGAGAGACAGAGAAGACAGCTCTGTTTGCATATTGTCTTTCTTCCCACCAGCCTGTGCTGTGGGATCTGCTCCAGAGGGAAAAGAGTGTTTGGGCCCTGCAGATTCTAGTGCAGGTAACAGGTGGAGGACACATGGGTGGGCTGGGTGACAGCCATGGCCAGAGGTCCCTGCCCTGTGAGGCCATACCCACCATGACCTCCTATTCACAGGCATACCTGCATATGCCCCCAGAAAACCTCCAGCAGCTGGTGCTTTCAGCAGAGAGGGAGGCTGCACAGGGCTTCCTGACACTCATGCTGCAGGGGAAGCTGCAGGTGAGCATAGAGAAAGAGGGGAGCAAGGGCACCTGGTGCCTAGTGTTCAGAGGGCTTGCCTTAGTGGGAGGAGGAACTCCAGAGAGGAAATGGCAGGGATACTGAGCATCTCCAGAGGCAGAATCCATTCCTGTGCCCCCACAGGTACCACCATCCGAGGAGCAGGCCCTGGGTCGCCTGACAGCCCTGCTGCTCCAGCGATACCCGCGCCTCACCTCCCAGCTCTTCATTGACCTGTCACCACTCATCCCTTTCTTGGCTGTCTCTGACCTGATGCGCTTCCCACCATCCCTGTTAGTCAACGAGAGTGTATAAGGTTCCTGCACCACTCCTCCTGCTCCTGTAAGGGTCAGGCCAACCCCATCCAGCTGGAGCAGCTCCTTCTGGAGGTCCTGTGTTTTTCTTTCATGCCAGATAGGTAATGTGCCAACATCATAACAAGGTTTGAGAGAGGCGCATCTCATACCTGAATGTGAAAACCCAGTCATGATGCTAATGAACTACAAAAGGATCAGAGAGGTCCTCTCTATAAAACCAGGGAGAGGCCGGGCGTGGTGGCTCACACCTGTAATCCCAGCACCTTGGGAGGCCGAGGCAGGCAGATCACTAGTTCAGGAGTTCTCTGGCCAATATAGTGAAACCCTGTCTCTACTAAAATACAAAAATTAGCCAGGCTTGGTGGTGGGCGCCTGTAGTCCCAGCTACTTGGGAGGCTGAGGCAGGAGGATAACTTGAACCTGGGAGGCAGAGGTTGCAGTGAGCCAAGATCGCGCCACTGCACTCCAGCCTGGGCAACAGAGCGAGACTCCATCTTAAAAATAAAACAACAAAACAAAACAAAAACAGAGAGAGTCTCCTTCCTATCTAGACAACAGGGCTACAGAGGGTCAGGGGAAAACAGTTCGGAAGAAGACAAAGGGTTAAGACCCATTACTCCTCGCAGCCTGGCTGCCATCCGGGATTACAGCCCAGGAATGAGGCCTGAACAGAAGGAGGCTCTGGCAAAGCGTCTGCTGGCCCCTGAACTGTTTGGGGAAGTGCCTGCCTGGCCCCAGGAGCTGCTGTGGGCAGTGCTGCCCCTCCTCCCCCACCTCCCTCTGGAGAACTTTCTGCAGCTCAGCCCTCACCAGGTATGAGAATCATCATCTTTATTTGACTGGCCCATCTTCTGCTAGTGGGGACGAGAGTCAATGGTGTGTGTCTCAGTGGCCCCTCCCTGCAAGAACCTCACAGTGACCCCAGTGCGAGCTAACCTTCCCCATCTCAGATCCTAGCCCTGGAGGACAGCTGGCCAGCAGCAGGTCTGGGGTCCGGGCATGCCTGCCATATACTGCGCAGCCTGGTAAACCAGAGTGTCCAGGATGGTGAGGAGCAGGTACGCAGGTGAGTTGTGGGATCAGTAACCAAGGCCAGAGTGGAATAGGTAGAGAGAGGAAGATACAGGTGTCATGGTGGGTAGGTGTTCTAGGAAGGAAGGGGCAAGGCAGTAGGCAGTGGCCCCAGGCAGCACAGAGTTCCAGGAGAGGTCTATAGATGGTGCCCCTGTGTAGTGGTGTAGTGGTCAGAGTGCCCAGTGTATGTACCCACACGGTCTGCTGCCAGGCCTGCCTTAGTGCTAGTCTCAGAGACCACACAAAGGTCAGCTTCATGCCCTCCTCAGGCTTGGGCCCCTCGCCTGTTTCCTGAGCCCTGAGGAGCTGCAGAGCCTAGTGCCCCTGGGTGATCTGATGGGGCCGGTAGAACGGGGGCTGCTGGAATGTGCAGCCAACGGGACCCTCAGCCTGGAAGGACGGGTGAGCCCCTCAGCACAAGCCTAGAAGACTCTAGGCTTCCCCTGGGTCTGTGTGGATGGCTTTCCCATTGTGTCAACTTGAGCACAGTGGTGCCAGCCCCCCATCCCGCTTTTGCAACCTCCATTCCTTACTGCATGGCCATTCTTACCTGTTACCACCTTCCTGGTCCATCCTGGTCTTCCTGGCCCTTCCCTATCTGGTCTGTGGCACCCCAAACACACCCTTTGCCATTTTGAACCTAATCTACTCCAGTCCAATCCCTAGTTCCAAACCCTAGCCCAAGCCCTGAGAAATTCAGATGTGGGATTAGAGAGGAAGTTCAAGGTTCATCTGTCTTTTCTCTCCAGTCCTAAACCTTCTTTGGTTACAGGTGGCATATGAACTTCTGGGGGTGTTGCGCTCATCTGGAGGTGCGGTGCTGAGCCCCCGGGAGCTGCAGGTCTGGGCCCCGCTCTTCCCTCAGCTGGGCCTCCGCTTCCTGCAGGAGCTGTCAGAGCCCCAGCTTAGAGCCATGCTTCCTGCCCTCAGGGAGCTAGTGTTACACTTGCTCAGGTTTGCCTCTCTCACTCCCTGGCATGCACCCTCCATCCCTGCTTGAGCCCTGTCAAGAGAATCCCATTCAGGGATAAAACCAGCCCCTCCTTTCCCTGGGTGAACAATAGAGGTAAACTCTGTCCACACGAGGACACCTTCATTCCCTTTCCTCAGATCAAGAAGGGACCTGAGTCACTGAGGATGGTTACTGGGGATGTTTAAGAGGGAGTGGGAAGTTTTGGAGGGTTTGCCTTAGGAACCCACTTAGGACCTGGCTGCTGGGTCCTGAGAGCTGTTGTTTTTGGTCCCATCCCAACACAGGCTGTCCTGCTGCTTGGACGGCTCCTTCCTAGGCACGATGTGAGTAACAGCAACCTCAGCCTCTCGCCAGAGGTCTCTATCCCCCTTTTCCCTTGCGTTTGCATCTGTCCCTCCTCTCTCTCCACTCACCTCATACTTATTGCCTTGCTACATTGTGATTGTTGTCTTCCCCACCACCCTTCCCTTCCTCTTCAGGCCTCTTGTTTCTCTTGCTCCTTAGCTATCCCTGGAGGAACTCTGCTCCTTGCATCTTCTGCTACCCGGCCTCAGCCCCCAGACACTCCAGGCCATCCCTAGGCGAGTCCTGGTTGGGGCTTGTTCCTGCCTGGCCCCTGAACTGTCACGCCTCTCAGCCTGCCAGACCGCAGCACTGCTGCAGACCTTTCGGGTATGAGAGTAGCAAGGAGGATGAGACAATCAGGGATACGGGCTCTCTCTGGTTGGGAGGAAGGCGTCTTCCCTGAGGCCAGGGAAGGCCTTTCATACCTCCCCACTTACACACACACACACACACACACACACACACACACACACACACACACAATTCTCATACAGGTTAAAGATGGCGTTAAAAATATGGGTACAACAGGTGCTGGTCCAGCTGTGTGTGTCCCTGGTCAGGTAAGTGTGAGATCTCCCAGCTCAGCTCCTCTCCCCATTTTGGGGCAGTTTCCTATGGCTGGTGCTGCCTCCCCCATTACCCTGCAGTGGCCCTGAGAGTTCTGGTTAGCTCTGTACCCATTAGCAGCCCTCCCCAGTTCCAGATGCAGGACAGCATGATCCACCCACATTGTCCTAGACTAATGTCAAAGCCGGGAGGGCCTGGGAAATCTTCCAGGCCACCCACCCTGCTTTCAGCTGAAAAGACCAAGGCTCAGAGAAGCTAAGGGACTTTGTTCGCCTTGTGCCTAACTGGCAGCAACACCTGACCACAGCAGCCTGCAGTGTGAGGCTCTTAGGCGTTTATTGCTACAGTGGCAAATGCCATTCCACTTCTGTCCCAGCTTTGGTCCCTTTCCACCCCCATGGTTTCTTTTCTCTGAGT